TGCAAAAAGTTAGCAGAGGAGTCAACAAATATATATAAGTTTAAAGAAAGAGTCTCAAAAAATCGAAGAAGCTGGCATTGCTTACATTAAAAAATTAAAAAAAACAGTCAAATTACCCATCAGAAAAAATTGGAGTAAAAATTCGGCGTATTTTAAAAATAGACAAGAAAATTAAATGAAAAGAACGAGGAGAAAAAAAGGTTCCACCATATAATTGTAGACGGTGCAACGAAAGACACTGGGAGGTAAATTGCCCATATAGAAATAAAAATGTTTCGTGTGCCAAAAGAATGGTCTAAAGGGTCGTGTTGTAAAACGAAAAAAAGTCAATAGCCGAATTAGACAAACAAATTCAAATATCAAATCAGATAGTGATTTGAGGAAGTATGTGACGACTGAAATATTTAAAAAGAATATCAAATTTCAACTCGATTCGGGTTCAGATTTAACAATAATGAACTATAAAACATGGAAAATTTTAAAAAGGCCTACAATAATGAAGTCAACGAAATGCGCTCGAACGGTAACTGGAAAGGAAATTAACTTCGAAGGCGAGGTTGTACTTGCATGAAATTGAACGGGATAGTTAAAAAAAATAAAAGTTTTCATTTTGAAAAATGGAGAAAACTTGATGGGTACAGATTTTATTGAAACATTCGAATTGTGGGATAAACCGTTAAACTCATTCTGCAGAAAAGTAGAAAGTAATACGCAAACAAGACAGGACATTAAAGAGGAATTAAAGAAAAAGTTTCCGGAAACCTTCACACTTGGTCTTGGAAGATGTAACAAGTTTGAAGCCAAATTTGAATTAAAGGAAAATACTATGCCAATTTTTAAAAAGAAACGTAACGTGCCTTTCGCAAGTGTAGAGAAAATTAACGAAGAACTTGATAGGTTGGAAAAAAATGGGAATTATTTCAAAGTAGAATCTAATTCATGGGCTGCGCCGATTGTGTGCATAAAAAGAAATCAAACCAAATCAGAGTCTTCGTCGATTTTTTCGACAGGGTTGAACTCGGTAATTATGACTACCATTACCCGTTACCGAGTCCGGAGAGATTTTTAACAAGCTAAATGGTGGAGTTATATTTTCAAAAATCGACTTATCAGATGCCTATCTCCAAATTCCCGTCGAAGAGGAATGTTCAAGTTACTAGTGATAAACACACATAGAGGGTTATTCAAGTACAACAGGCTTCCTTTTTGGTATTAAAGTGGCACCAGCCATTTTTCAACAAACTATGGACGTCATGTTGAATGATTTAGACTTTGCGTGCGCTTACTTAGACGACATCATAGTAAGGAGGAAACCGTCGACGAACATCGAGAGCATCCCAATGAAGTATTTAAAAGATTCAGGACTTTGGATTTAAAGTCAAAGAGTCAAAGTGCGAATTTGGTTTGGAGGAAATTAAGTATTTAGGTCACATAATCAACAAAAATGGCAGATGTCCAGATCCGGAAAGGTCCATTGCGATTAGAGACATGCCGACGCCCACTAATGTGGCGATGCTACAGAATTTTCTGGGGCTTGCAAATTATTATCAAGCGTTCATTAAAGGAATGTACAATTTAAGAGCTCCGTTGAATGAACTGCTAAAAAAGACAAGGCATGGGAATGGACAGTAGAATGTCAGAAGGCCTTTGATGAAATAAAGAAAATGCTTACGTCCGACCTCTTTTTAACCCATTACAATCCAAAACTGGATATTGTAGTGGCAAGTGACGCTAGTTCATACAGGGATAGGAGCGTGTATTCAACACATAATGCCAGATGGTTCTAGAAAACCAATTGCACATGCTTCGAGAACTTTGCTTCCAGGAGAAAGAAGTTACTCCCAGATAGAAAAAGAGGCACTGAGTATCATTTATGCCATAACAAAATTTCATAGATACATCCACGGCAGACATTTTATGCTTGAAACGGATCATAAACCTCTGATCACTATTTTTGGTTCAAAGAAAGGGTTACCCGTTTATACGGCAAATCGTCTGTTGAGATGGGGAACCATTCTTCTCAATTATGATTTTCACATAAAGCACTTATCATCCAAAAATATAATTCATGCGGATAGTTTATCAAGACTCGTACCGAGTCAAGAAGAAAGATTCGAAGAATCAATTATTGCAAATATCAGAGTAGATTATGAGGTGAAAAGCATGGTAAACAACATTGTAAGAAAGCTACCGGTTACACTAAAGGAAATTAAAAAAGAAGCTGAAAGCGATGATTTCATTTTAGAAATAAAAAGCAAAATGGTAGCAAATGACCAAAAGGTGCAGGAGATTTATTCAATAGGTGACGGAGTTTTATTATATGGTGAGAGAGTAGTAGTACCAAAAAGTTGCAGAAAAAAAAATACTACGGGACTTTCATATGGGTCACCCGGTATTAATAAAACAAAAAGCTTAATGCGAAGCTTTGTATATTGGAAAGGAATGGATGTGGATATCGCAAACATGGTTCATCGATGTAAAGGGTGTGCATTAGCAGCCAAGGCACCACCTATAGTACACAAACCATGGCCCAAGACAGATCATCCGTGGACAAGATTACACATTGATTTCGCTGGTCCAGTAGAAGATTATTACTACTTAATAGTGGTAGATAGTTTTACAAAATGGCCGGAAGTACTACGCTGCAAAAAGTCTACGTCCAATACCACAACAACTTTTTTGCATGAACTATTTGCACGGTTCGGTGTGCCAGAGTTTATTGTGAGTGACAATGGTACACAATTCACTTCTGAAGAATTTAAGGAATTTTGTGAGTTATATCAAATTAACCACATAACGACGCCGCCGTATCATCCGAGGTCCAATGGACTCACAGAAAGATTTGTCGATACTTTAAAGCGCGCTCTGAAGAAAGCCTCAGGAGTTCCAACGGAAAAGGCGCTTCAGCAATTCTTACAAGTATACAGAATCACGCCAAACCAGAGAACACACGCAAACATGGCACCAGCTGAACTAATGTTCGCTAGGAAAGTTAAGTCAGTGTTTGACAAGCTTTTGCCAGGAAAAAATAGAGTAAAGAATACTATGTATACAGTGAGAAAAAGATACACCTCCGGAGAGAAGGTGTTTTTCAAGTGCTACAAAAACAACGTTGAGTTCTGGGAGAGAGGCATAGTGGACAAGAGAATCGGTGACCTGATTTACATAATTAAAGGGCCGAAGAATACTCATAAAAGGCACCAGAACCAAGTTAAAAAATGTTACGTTATAGAGCATGAAGAGAGTATACCGGATGAGGAGGAAGATCCCATTGATGTAATGTATGATATGTTTCAAGTAGAACCTCCACAGAATACTCCTGAACCAAGAAGATCCGGTAAGAAACGGAAGTTCACGGACCCATTGGACGTGAATCCAAAACGGAAAAAATATTAAAATTAAGCAGATGAACATGTGCATATGAAGTATGCAAATGGATCTACAAAGAAATAGCCATAATCATCAACCCATATAGGAAGCCATTTGGAAATCCAAAAGGAATTCCAAGGCTTGGGAGGTGGGTGTTGTGGTAGGATCCACCTAATTTGCATAGTCGAGTACTGACCATATAAATATGGTTGGTACCGGGAAGAGAAGGGGAGGAATCAAGAGATTCAATCCAGAGACTCTGCCCGACTGCGACTAAGTCTACACATTCTCCAGGAATGGTCTTCCCAGGAATATACAAAAGACTATATGTAAATATTGTGTACACTTTCTTGTTTCAATACATTTTGTTCTAAGTACATTTTGTGTTGCATTATTATTCCATGCATTAGTCAAGTTTCAACAAATAGCAGTTTCATTTTAGAGTTATTAAATTTTACAAGCCATTTCTTGCCCCAGTTAACAACTGATTTTAGGTTGTTTTTAAAAGCAGCTGTTAGTTTTACTTTGTTGGCCCTATCAGACTTATTATTAAGACAGTAGTAAATAGTTGTGTTATCAGCATAAATACCTAGTTTGGAAGTGATAACCCTGGGAAAGTTGATGAAGAAACAATGTAGGTTTAAAGACAGAGCACTAGGGGACTGCTACATTAATCTGAAATGATCTATAAGCATTTCCATTCAACATGACTATCATTATCTGATTTGTTAAGAATGATTGGATTGTCAAATATCTGACCAGAGAAACCATAGGCTTTGAGCTTGTGGCATGCTAAACCCTATCAAACACCATTGATATATCTAAAGCCACAGCCCAAGACTCCTCTAATCTTATCTAAGGCCTGATAGACAAATTCACTAATAACTGTTAACACATTGGTAGCAGAGAAACAAAAGTCATATTTTTTATCTGAAAGAAGGTCATGTGAAGTGAAATGCTTTTGCCATAAACTTTACTGAGACAGAACTATATTGACTACATATCTTAAAGGCATTAGTTTTCAACCATTCTATAAATTGGTCACAATCAAGGGTCAGGTTTTAGGTACCTAACTCTGTCTTTATGTGAATGTGAGAGATGAATAACACATTAAAAAGAAAATACAATGTGATAAACACTGCTTTTTATTAGTTGATAATGTTGGGTTTACCAAATATATGTGCATAGCTTTGATAGTACCTGCAATAGGTACAGATATTTATCGAAATAGAAAAAATAAATGAAGACAGCTAGAGAGAAGTCAGAAGGACATAAATGAAGGTTTTATTTTATAGAAAGAGAACATGATAACAAAGTGTAGAAATGTGTAACATGCCTTCTATCTGACCCTGAAGAGGAAAGCTAGTGAATATTACAAACGTCTGTCCTTACTCACAAATTTAGCATGACATGTTGCAAGAAGTTGTTTTTCCCATGTGTCTATGAAGTGTCTTCTCTTTCTTTCTACTCAGTTTAGGGATTCATTGATTGGTCATTAAGGGTCACATGACCAGCCAAGCATGATGTATACTAATTGGGTAAGAGGAAGGAATGTCAACCCTGTAGTATGATTCATCCCCCCCATTAGTGGATCTGTCCTGAACACATATATTCAGGAGAATTCTGCTGATATGCAGAGTATATTAAAGGAGGAGGCTTTCTCTTTCTCTCTTGTCGAACTCTCTGTCTCTGGGCAGAGAGGAACCCAGACGAGGCTATGTCAAAGGGCAGAGTCTTGTTTGGGGAGGTAGACAAACCTGACCCTGTGTATCTATGGGCAATTTTTGTTTGAGCCTACGGGCTCGGACCGCCTCATGTTAAAAACTGGCCTTGTGCCACACCTTGCCTTGTGGGGAAGTTGGTAAATAGAGAGTATATTAAAGCTTGAAGGAGTCAAATGGTCTGCTGCCTGGCTCTGCTTATCAACTTCTCTGCCTCCAGGCAAAGAGGAACCCATATGAGACTATGCTGAAAGGGCAGAGTCTTATCTGGGGAGGTAGACCACCCCTGTGTATATGTAGTCTACAGGGAATTCTTGCTCAAGCCTATAGGCTTGGAAAGTCCTACGTTAAACCTGCTTTGTGCCACATCCCACTTTGTAGGGAGCTTGGGTAAATATTGAGTATACTGAAGCTTACTGATAAGCAATAGGTATTGTCTAGAACAATTCTACTACAAACCCAACAATATTTTTATAATTCTGCATCCATGACATTTAAAAATAATTTAAACATAACAGTACTATTCATATAAATGATGGTTAGACTTCTGTCAAGGTTGACTATAGAGACAATATCTTTTTATTGATACTGCTTTGGTAAGTAAGGAAGTAATGAGAGAATGGTTTGTTCACTCACTTTCTTCTCCATCAGTCATTGTGGCATGCTAATGATGAGACATTTTTTATAGACAATTGACAATGAGGGCAGAACAGAAGATAAGGGGTTTCATGACCTTCTCAAGAAAAATGTAATCAGTCTCAGTTAAAATTCAGTTTTCTGGTTTGCTTAACCACTAGGCTACTTGACAACTATAAAATAAAAAAGCCGTTTAAAATGATATTTGGTTTAAATTGGCTTTAATTGAAAATTTGCGATTTATGCAAAAACAATCACCATTAATGTTATATTGCACACTTATTGAGAATTATAACATATTTTAGTCCATCTTGGTATTTAAATTTTAAAATCTTGTGACATCTCTAGTTGTGACACACTTGTACTGTGACACTTCAGCTGAAGCATATATGTAGTATGTAACTCACTTCAGATGATACTAAAATAGACTTAGTACTTTGTATTACAGACATTTGTCAGAGAAGCCAGGTGCATCATCAAGTTGACTTAAAAGATAACCTCCTAGCTTGCAGGTGCAGATCCACACCTCCACTGTCAAAAGAAAGCCTGACAGGTGGTTGACTTCATTTAGGATGTGCACACATGGGATGGCTGTTGACAGGTTGATATATAAGCCCCCACTAAAGAGGGAAAAGAAGGTCAGTCAGTTATGTTCCATGTGTGATACATGCTTAGGCAATCATGTATCTTTTGATATGTGACTAACGAGGCAGATTTTTTCCTGCAGTAGGTTGCCATTTCTTTCTGCGATAGACCAGTTGCCATTCAAGGCTATAAAACCCAGTCTGTCCTGCTATTTACCCATAGCTGCTTAGAAGAAGAGGATTCATATCTTTCCCAAGTAATGTAATGGATTTGACTGGAATTCAAACTCAGGTCTCCAATTCCTCAATCTGAGCCACTATCCATTACTCCACCATGAAGAAGGTAGAATACACATTTGAAGGAAACCCCAAAAGTCATACATCAACTTGCTAACAGTAATTGACAAAGAATGGAGAAGTTTAAATAATCTTATAGTCTTGTGGTCTTAATATCTGGACAACAATAATATTACACATGAAATTATATAAATTCATTTATTAATGGATATTATATTAAACTTTTTAACTTAACATTAAATGTTTATAATACAGAAATTAAGTCCTCCACATCTGGTTTACAGAAAACTTCCAAACACTACTAAGGCATTTGTAACAACAACATTACCATAAACAAGAAAAAAGTGAAAGTGGCAAAGCAACAAATGGACATAAGATGTGGTTGAGATAAGTAAAAGAGTTTTTATTTCCTGTGATATACATTATGGCTGTTTGCTTGTTCTGGGATATTGTATATCAATCATGGGAGACTGAAAATTTGTTCTGGGTGAAACACAAGATAGTAGTCAAGATAAACAAATAGAGAGAAACAACACACATATATAGTCAAGTGAGATAGACTCGTGAGAAAAATATTCCATGAATTATCACATTGTAGGGTGGAGGGTGATGTCTCTGTTGCTGCAGCTTTTGGTTTCATTGCTGGCCAAAGACATCACTGTTGGTAGAAGCACTTTGGTGCCACTGTTGATTAAGTTTGCCTGCCATGGAGTCCATAGCTACTGCCAATCTGATTGGATCTGTTTTGATGGATGAAAGCAGCATTGGATTTATAGTTGGTGGGTGACTTAGAAACAGTTGCTGCAAAAACTGAGTGTTTTTTTTTTCTGATTGACCAGAAAATATGTTTTATGATCCTGGTATTTTGGGGTGGTATTTCAGAAGTGGGTGCACGGCACTGGATAGAATTAAGGCCTATTTTTGTCACATGACCTGTGGATTTCAAAGTGAGCACTTTCATTTGAGTTAAAGAAATTGTAGAGCCATTATCCCTAATTTAGCAAAATAAAATTTTATTGAATAGAAGACACATACAAATCTTATCATTTTTTGCAAACACCACAACTCACAAACAGCAGTAGTCCATATAAACAGCAACCACACATGCAGACTACTTGCACACAGACAGTAATTTGTCCATGCACAGAAAGCTGGAGTCAAGGCAGACACTTGGCTATAAAATGGTAGTAACTTCATTCATAAGCTCTATATGAAACAAATATATGAGTCACTTATAAACTCTATATGAAGCAAATACATACATTTTTCAATATAAATGAAAATAGGACCTTTCTTTTTTCAAATTGTTTTATAAAATGTTGCATTTATTACAAAATATTTGTTTATTATTATTTATTTATTACTGTTAGTATTCTGATAGTGAGATTATTTTACCAAAATTTGAGTTGACTAAGTATCCACAAATTGAAGTTACAACAGGGTATGGCACATTGATCTATAACTGTGCTCTTTATAAATTTTATTTGCTTGTGGAAGGTTGAGAGGGTTAAAATTTTGGCTTTTTAAAAATATTCAACTCATCCACAATGAAAAATAAAGAAAAAGAAAAAAGCTGATAAAGTGTAAATTCAGAATTTTTTTATTCCAGAAATAGTTACATGGATTAAAAAAATAATTTTTCTTTTTACTCCAGTTTCTTCTAATGAAAACAGTTTCCATACAACAGGGAATAAATAAAACAGAGGAAGATTGCTTAATAACTTCAACTCAGACTGTTACATCTGGCTGCTACACATGGACTGTTTGAACTGACTACATGATACATCGTTTTTTATTTGTACCTCATGCACATAATTATAGACACAAAATATGCACAAATATTTAACAGAAAAAGGCTTAGCTAAAATACTTGGCAGACATAGTTGTAAACATACTATGTGTTACTTTTTGGACCACTTAGAAAACAACAATAATAACTCCTTTCCCCACTCTCACAAATTCAAGGAAAAGATTTTCACAAGCCAGTATGAAATTATTTTCTAACCAATGAAAACCTTGTATTCAAAAAGTTCACACAACTATGTGAAATTAGATTTTAGATCTCCCTTATGGATATAAAAATAGGAGCCTACTGCTTCTCAAGGTTCAAAAACAATTTTGAGGGCCAGTTTGATCTACATGTGCATACATACACATGTACCTACCTACACATACATAATGGAAGACAGACAGCCAGCAACTGCTGACTAAGGCCTTGTCCACGCACACAATAGAAGTGATTAAGTAGCAACTGCCTACTAAGCCTTTGTCTATGAACTCACAAACACATTAGGCGGATTGTCAAAATAAATCTGTTCACACATTTCACACTGCAGTAAGAACACTTAATTACATTATAAAACAAACTTCACTGCAAGGAAAACTGAACATTTTATTGTATTGAATATTTCCGAAAAGAATATATAAATGTTATTTCAACTAACATTCTGCTTCTACATTTCCTCCAGAAAATAACTTTTTATAGGCTTCATTTAAAAAATATGTTGCTATTGATCTTGTTAAATGTTTGGAATCTGACACTTGGATAGCAACAAAAACCTGTGTAGATGGATCGCAAGACTTAAGAGGAAATTTTACAAATTAATAATTTGATATATGTTTTAAATGGTGTATAATTTAAAAACTTTAAATTACATTTTATTTTAAGTTGGTATTCACTCAGCAGGGATATTGTAGTTTATTCATAATTTTCATTAAGAAAACATTTTTATTTTGTCTGAAACTGATTAATGAATAGAATAATGTATCTGTTATAATTTGAATTTGTCTAATTTGTTCATTCCAAGAAATCCTAGTTAAAAGAATTTTTTTATTGGGAGAGGAGGAGAAAATACAATGTCACATCTCTTGTCACAAATATTATATAAGGTGCGAGTGTAAACAAACAAGACTCAAACTCTGATGTGAAATTTGAAAGAAACAAACATTTATTACAATGACAATAAAACAGAATACAAAGTTTACAAATAAGTTTGCACAAATCTTTCCTCTGTACACCTTAGTATTAAGGTAAGATAACTAATTAAAAAATTTAGACTTATAAAAGCTGATATAAATTTTTCAACAAAATTTTTACTTACTTTCATACTTTCAACAGTCAAAATCTTGGCAAATTCACACTTGTCACTGGGAATTTAAACAATCATTCAGTTTTTAAATGAACCACAATATTGAGATAAAATTCATTTTTTTTTGTTTTTATAAAGTTCAACATTAGGGTTGATGCTTCTAATTTTAAGAATCTTTTTTTTCTTTCAGCTTCTTTAACTTTCAGTTTCTTTACCTTTCTTCATCTCTTTCTTTCTCTTGTTGGTAGCAGTGGTTGCAGTGTCATCATCATTATTATTAGAAACAGTTCTTGGTCATTTGCATCCTTCTGGTCCTAAAACCAATTTGATTTTTTAAATAACCTCAAAACCAACTTCAGATCTAATCTCAGTATGAAATTTATGTAGGTGGAAATTATCTTTCTCATTGATTAAAAAAACCACAAAATGTTTCTTTTTTAAACTATGCCTGTTCACAGACATTATTTTTATAGTTTTACATCAGACCATAAAGGCTTGAGCCTCCTTTTTACAAATTTGGAAACAAAATTTTACACATCAAATTTATTCAAGTCATTATTTTTTATTAACCATCTAACTTTCTTTTTATATACTACTTAAAAAAGAAAATGAAATAAACAAACCTAGTCTATTGCATCATTATTTTTTTTATATTCACCTTTTTATTAATCTTTTATATAATTTATATTGTTTTTATCATATAATTTTTTATACTCTTCCTTCAAAGGGAAGTGCAATAAACAAACTTAGTTCGTAGTATTTTTTTTATTTATTTAATTATTTTTATATAATTAAAATTTTTTTTTATTATAAAATTTTTATACAGTTTATGTTGATTTTTAAAGACAAACACTACATGCTCATAATTCAGGATCTGGCACTGAATTGATACATACATATTATCATCTTCATTTCTTTGTTTTCTGTTTGTTTTGTTTAAGTTTCTGATTTACATTTTTTTTGGAATGTGATACATTCTCATTGGATCTTTTCTAGAAAGCTCTGATGAATATAAAGACTGTATTACTTTTTTTACCATTTAGAAAAAAATTGTGTGTACATTTTCAGCTTGATTTAATTTCTTGCTCTAATGGAAATCTGACGTTACTGTTATACTGAACTATATCATTTTTGGAAATAATATAACTGAATATTGCTTTGTTGATGCTAACTTGCAATATTGTTGAGATGAAGTGATCTGTGAAGGTGTGATTAACGACACGCCTACACATAACCATCGTTTACAAGATATATCTGTATCTAATAAAATGAATTCAAGTATCCAAAATTTGTAAACGCCTTCATTACTTCTTAAATAGTGATTATTTGACACTGCAGGTTCTCAGATTTTGACATTGTCATTAAGTCAGCAAATTAAAATGATCAAAGTGAAAGTATCAAAGGGAGATAATAATAGCAATATTGTCATTTTTCACTGTATGATCTCTATATTAATTTAATTTTAATTTTTTTTTTTAATCGTCATAATTTATTTTTTAATTTTAATATTTTATTATAAAAAATAATTTTTGCAATCTCGTTATTTATTTATTTAATTATTTGAATATCATTAAAATTTATTCGTTCAGTTTGTGCGGTTCTGTATTGACTGTCTGCTGGAGTTATTGTTGGCTGGACCAGAAAACGTTAGGGAAAACTAAATAAAAACCTTCAAAGAAACAAAACGCCCAACAGCCGTTTATTGGCACATTGTGGCCTCGATCAGGCATTTTCTACGTAAAACAATTACTTAGAACCATTTCGTTTACAGGTAATGTATACCAATTGCCTTATTTATACATTGTAAAACATTGTTGTACAAGTGTGTACTAGTGATGCTACTACTGCTAACTTGACGATTTGTAGAAGCAAAAAGAAAAATAACACGATTGACAGTTCTAATAATTTCATTTATACTTCTAACGCTTTTTAAATGAAAATAATGTTTATGTTTATTTTTCCTAACCGAGTAGGACAGATGTATTTTTATTTTATAGAAATATAATGTCGAGGTATAGTTTGACATAGTCATGTCGAATAGTATCTTTTCGATTCTTGGTCGTTTTCGTTCGTGTGTATTATTATTTTATGACAATCATCCAACCTGTAGCAAATCATGAGTTTAAATTAAATTATATTTTGAATTAAATATCCCTTTCGGAAAAAAGAAAAGTTTATTAAATTATTCTAGCGATCATAATTTTTAAATCATTTTTTTGTACTTCATTGATGGAGAAAACTATTTTTGAAAAAAAAAAATCCTGTTGGTGTTTTAGTTTATTTTTTTTTTACAGCTTCAAACAAAATTAAATTCTGCTATTTATTTATTTTTAAAAAATCTACACCATTCTGTAAATAAATAAATTATCCATAAAGATTGGGTTAATTTGTCTAGTATTTCCTTTCTCTCTTAAACTTGTTTCATTTAGTTTGTTAATTACTTTGATCACCAAATAAAAATGTTTTCCTTATGGAGAACTGTTCTAAAAAAAAAGGGAATAAGAAAAATACTGTTTTTGATAACTGAGGTTTTATTTGATAAAATTGTTCTTTATAAAATATACATTTTTCATCTATTTTTTATTGTTTTTTTATGAACGATTACAGTACACTTTTTTCTTTTCTTTTACTATAAGTTATTTTATTTTTTATGTTTGGCCTTCAGTCGAATTTATGACTATTTTTAAACTAAAGAGATGAATTATTATTTGAGTTTGACCTTCGTTTCTGTCGCAAATGGCCATAATTTACCCACTTTTTCTCATATGACAAAGAAAGCTTCTTTTTAATTTACCTATGAAAAGAAATGTATAATAAAATATTGTAATTAATTAATATGCAAATCTTTTAGAAATTCTAAATAAAAAAAGAAGCATCATTATTTGAGAAAATTATTTTCGAAGTTTGAATAAACAATTAAGAGATTTAATAAAAAAGAATTTATAAAAAATAGAAATCGCTGTAGTGATTTTTATCCATTTATTTGCTTAGTACGCTTTACGACAAGGCGGTCACATGAGACTGATGTTCATATTATTATCCATTTTTCCTGGTTGTTTTTAAACTTTCTAAGGAACTGCCATAATTTTTTTTACCTGTTATTATCACAGAAAGTAAAGACCAATATTGTCATATGCATAATAAAATCGTTTTTTTTTTTTGTTTTTTGTTTTTTATTTTTTATTTTAACGTTTCAAAATTGCTACTTTTTTAAGTCATGGATGATGTGATGATGACGATATTCAGTTATTAAGGTTTTTACTAATAAATGATCGCTGATGGCACGAGTAAATAATAAAAATCTACCTACTATTTTGCAAAAATACGTTATTCCCCAATCAAATCCCCATCCACAACTACAAGCAAGCACAGACCCCCAAATCATTGTATGTTTATTCTGGTCTGTTTACCTTAACAAAGAAGAAAGATTATGCTGTAGGGGAGGAAAAAAAGACAGTAAAAAAGAGAAAAAAAATCATTATTATTATTTAATTGAATTGTTAATGTCGTCTTTTGTGTGGGTGGGTGTAACAGTTAACTGTTTGATTTGGCAAACAAATATTATTATACATGTCACTAGTGTACAACTAAGCATGTGCAACCTTCAGAGATAGGGAAACAAAAGGAAGAGTCGATGTACAGATTGTAGGTTAATGTTATTGATTCGTGTTACATTCACAATCACTTGCTTAACAACCAATTATTCCAATACATTATTGTCTCTATTTATTACATGATTTACACATGTTAAAAAAACGTTGAGTTGAGTGACTGTGAGTATTATTATTCTTCTTCCTTATTGAAGCTTTCTTTGGAATATATAGGCATTTCTTACGAAATGTTTTAACAACCTGAAGCATAATAATCAAAACAAAATATAATGATAATGAATGACATGTATTACATACAATATTGATGCATATCACTTTACCAAACTTTGTGTCGTCGTGTGTATTTGTGTATTCAATGGACAGCAATATTTGTGATGGACAAGAAAAGTTTTTTTATTTTTATTTAGTTTTTCTAATGTTCTTACAGTTTTTCTTTTATTACGTGTGTATGGATGTATATCTATTTCTCTATATACAGGATGTGCTGAAAAGTTCTCAACCAGACTCTAAAGAATGACCTTGAGCCGTGAAATGTACATGCCATTCTATTCCATTCACTTTGCAGTTTTACACCTGACACATCAATAATAGTCAAGTCTCTTGAACTCTTCCTCTCTAAATTCTGATGTTTGGTTATTAAAAGACTATTTTCTTTTTTCAAAAATGAGTCAAGCCTAGAACTTTTCAGCAGCCCCTTGTGTGTGCATGTCCTTATTTGGTTTGGGACAACACTTTTCTTAGTGCTCAGATTTGACAACATGCTAATCCTTAAGTACATTATTCTGTTATTTTTTATGAGTATGTGAATGTATATATATGTTAGAGAAAGATCATTTTTTTTCTGTTTTTTTTTTGTTTTTTTTTTTTAATCATTTCACGCCAAGCAAGATGATAATGCCACTAAAATGCAAGGGGTTACTGTGAGTGAAAGAGAATGAGAAAATTTTAGTGAGAAGAAAAAACAGTAAAAGAACAGAGATCAGGAAGGCAGATGATCGTGATTGATGTTGCATTTAAATTTTTGGTGGTAAGGAAGTAAAAAACCAGAAGAGTTCCTCCACAATGTGCGAGAAAAGAAATAATTAGAATAGAACATCAAGCTAATTCAACAATAAGACTATGAGACCTAGTTGCCAATCTAGTAGTACACTTCATTTCATGCAGTCAAGGTATCAAGGAGGAAGATAATTAGAAGAATAGGGGCTACATATGATTTGCATTGAAGTGAAAAGGAAATTTGCACAGCATCACTTATTCTTTCTTTTCACGTCCTACCAACTGTCAAAAGCAAAACCTTTTAAATTAAAAAATAATTTGTAATGAACCAAATATATTATGCCTGTCTTAATGCATTTATGGTGGAATCTTTGGACGATGGGTTTGGGTATTTATAAAAAAAAATAACTCCAGTAACTGATTCTCAGCTTAAAATCACAATCACCACTTGCTAAAATGAAGTAACCGTCAGTCTGTCCAGTGAACCACAAACTCCAAATATGTGCGTGTGTGTAAGTAAAAGACATAAAAAAAAGTCAATCATTCATGTATTTTCTTTTGCATGCAGAATAATTCTCACTTTCAAATCACAAAAATGATCTTATTATAATGAGGGTAACGCTTCATTAACCATAAATTTTATTTATACTGACTTGACTGATTCAAGATAAACTAAAAACTATTAAGTTATTAACTTGTGTAAAAAGTAAAATCATCACAAAAGAAGTTGACCTATTAAGGGTAGACAATCTCCTTTAAAAGTAGACCAGGTTGGTTCTTATAGGCAAAGACAAATTCCAGGTAAAATGGAGATAAAATTAATAAATAAATATATTTCTGTTTCTCATATACGTACATTAATTATATTTATTTATTTCTAATTGGCCCTAAAAAGGAAATAAAATACAGTTCAATTCTTAAAACAAATATTCAACATGACTAAATGTTGCCCGTAACTCATGTCTGTCTTTTATAATTTTTATTTAACTAAAGTTTTTTTTTTCTTTTCAAGAACAAATATAACTTGAATTTGGGCAGGTAGGTCATCATTATTTTGCACACTTCCCCTCAATTGTTACAGAGAAAAAAAATTGTACTTGGATTAAATGAAAATTACTTACAATATAATATATATTACTTATAATACATCCCTTCTTGCTGTCAATTTTGATGGCATGGGTACACTGTGTGTGTATGTGTATATATATATATATATATATATATATATATATATATATATATATATATATAAAGAAAACTATATTTTAATAATTGATTTTAAATCACATTAGATATTTTCTGTTATGAGTAAACATAAATTCTAATACAATTTTCTTGAGCAGAAGTGTTAATGGTTAAATTAATAACTACTTTTGCATATCAAGAGTTGAGTAGATACGAACCACATCATTATATTTGGAGATTTTTTGGTTCTCACCAAAAGCTAATGTCAATACTTTTATAGAAGCCTAAAATAAAAAGAAAAGATTGCATTTTCTTTTTCTCATCAAATAAAAAAAAAACTCAATTCTTGATATTTTCTTTGGGTTAAATTTTAAGTGCAGTTTGTTATTGTAAAATATAAGCACTTCAACTATTTCTCTGAATAATCACTCTATTATCTCTTTTTAATTGTTTCCATATCAATTGTCAAACTTCTGCAGTTTTGTCTGAAGACAGCAAGATTGTTAAAAGTTTAAAATAAGAAAAAAATATAGTAATGGGGCTTTTTTCCCTTAGTTTCCAGCACACCAACATTTCCATAATCTTTAGGAATTGATAAATTAAGTTAATTTTGTTACTCTTTCCCAGAGATTTTGGTTTTATGGTGAGGAGTAATAAAAAAAAATCAGCATTATCATTTTTTTACCTTTTTACACTTCTGTAATTTACAATTATGAACTTACATGGGAATTAATGAAACCCAAGCTTTCTCTATAAAATTTTGATTATCAAAGGCAGTTTAAACAAGTATCTTATTCTATAACTAACAGATCACCATTAAAAGGATATTTGATTGTAATTCATTGAAAACATAAGAAATAATTTTAGTAGGAGCTGGAAAATGATACCAAATTCATATTTGTAGGTATATTGTTATTACTATTTTATGTGTACTTTTAAAAACTGATGGCATTATTTAAGTAATTTTACTATTACATTG